CCTCAGAGTGCAGGGATTCCCTCTGGGTTGATATGGGAGTTGTGGCCAGCCCCCTGGTAGGATGAGTGGATGGGACACAACCTACCCTTTCCTTCCAAGTTCCAACTGAGGCAGGGGTTGGTCAGCTACCCTGGCCCAAGACTAGTGACTCTCATGAGAGTTCCTTGGAGCACCTGGCCTGCCCCAACACAACTGCATGGTGATCATTTTCTCAGGTAAAGCGTTCTATTCAGACTTCCCAACCAGTTCATACACTCCTGAGAATTTGCATTTCCACCCTAGAAATGCTGAATCAGAATCTAAATTTTAATGAGATCCTAGGTGATTCTAATGTATATACAAGCTCTATAAGGGTCCTGGTGTGGTGCTGCAGGATAAGCACTGAACTGCTAACAGCAAGGTGAGTAGTTCATACCCAGCAACCACTCTTTGGAATCCTTGTACAGGGTGGCTATGAGTTGACACCGACTCTATGACACTTAACAACAACATAGAAGTATCACCTTGGAATACTGTTAAAAATATAGATTCCAATTCAGTGTATCTGGGGTGGAAATGCAAATTCTCAGCAAGGGGTGGAACCCAAACGAACTGGCTCAAAACCCTGATTCCAACAGGTTCCAGAGCATCTGGGAGAGACCAGGTGTATTTAAGAGTATTGTTTGGTATACTTCCCAGCCATGTTCCACCTCACATTACAGATGAAGAGACTGAGGCCTAGAGTATAAAGGCAAATGAACTGAAGTTTCACCAAAAGGGGAGGAGTTTTCCTGACTTTTTCTGACTCCTTCTTCCTGGGTGGATCCATAGGCAGGGTTTGTAATTAATATAAACAAGCACTGTTGTTATTGTTGTGAAGTGTCCCTGAGTCAATTCTAATTCACAGAGATCTGTATGGGGTTTCTGAGGAGCAGCTTGTGGGTTTGAACCACTGACCTTGTAGTTCGTTGTTGTTGCTGTTAAGTGCTGTCGAGTTGGTTCCTACCCATAGCAACCCTGAACAGGGTTTCCAAGGCTGTAAGTCTTTATGGGAGCAGAAAGCCTCATCTTTCTGCAACAGCTGGTAGTTTCGAACTGCTGACCTTGCAGTTCACAGCCTGATTCATAACCACTACACTACCAGAGATGTAGTTTGTAGTCCAGTGCTTATCCTACACCATAAGTCCACAAAAATCATAAAACAAATGGGTTTGGTTTACAGAGTCAATGTGGCCTTTGGAGTCAAACTGAATCTAAATCACTGCTCAGCCATGGGCGGATAGTGTGATGATGGACAATCACTTAAATTCCCTGAGTTTGGAGTTCTTCATCTGTAAAATGGGTTTGATAGGAATATTTTGATGATGAAATAAGTTAATACTTGAAAAGTGTTAAGAGTAACTCTTGGCACATAGTAAGTGTTCAATAAAGCATAGCCATTATTATTGTAATTATTGCTATTGTCATGGGGTGAGTTTCCAGCATCTGTGATAGAGAAACAGCACATATGCCAGAGAATGGCATAAGTGAATAAGAAAAAGGATATTTGCTCAAAGCACTGTCAGGATCAGAGTAACAAAAATATCCAAATAAGCCTCTTTTGAATCGAACTTTTCTTAGCAATGTATTTTTTCACCAAAGAATTCTTTGGAGTGTTCTCTAGGGTAGAGTTGTCATTTGACAGCTGGTCAGAATAGCTTTTCAAGTGTGGCCATAAAGGCCTTTGGACCCCAGATGCCTGCCCTCAGTACTAGAGCTGGGCTGCCCTCGAACTTGGAGCTGGCCTCAGAATTCTGTTTAGGGCAAACTCAGGAGTGCGAGGAAAAGACTTCGAACCTACAGTAATAGGCTACATCCCAGAGGCTCCATGCTCTAATCATGGCTCTGTTCCTGACATGCTGTGTGACCCTGAACAAAACAATTACCTTCTCTGTGCCTTCATTTTCCCAATTGTAAATCGAGCATGGCCTGCCTGACCCCATGTCCCAGCTGGGAATTAGGTATCAAAAAACTTCAAAAAGGCAAACATGAAATCACACAACTCAGAGGCCCTGCTGGAAACACTGCCAAGACAAATAACTAGAGGGATCCACAGAGGCCCCCTGCTCGGGCGGCGTGGACAGGTCTGGCTTCGTGTTGGGCTGTGTGTGCTATAAGAGCTCCTGGAGAAAGGCCAGGAGCAGCATTGTGCAGGACAAGCAATGCATTTACTTGCTGCTGCTTACTGAGTTTTATCTAAAAACACAGCACAATTCCATTATATTGGGAAGTGCCACTGGAAATTTTTGTATAAAAAATGAGGTTTTCAAAATTGATAAATGGATTTCTCTATTGCTTTGTTTAAAAGAATGTAATAAGCAAAACTTTTTTTCCCCCAAGGAGTCCAGATGACCTGGGGGACACTATTAACTTTTTTTAAAGGTATTTTGCAAAACTCCTAGCCTCTGTGCTGGTGGCTTTCGTTACAACACATGTTTTGGGGGACACAATTCAATCTGTATGTAACAGTGTATCCATGGGTTACAACATTCATTCATTTGTTTGTTAACAGCTTATGGCGATACAATTTGCACGCCATTTATTCACCCATTAAAAGTATACAAGCCCTGTAAAGGTAGAAGTTTTGCAACAAAAGGGTGGGGGGAGTAGTTAATTATACAGGTCAGGAACAGAGGCCCCTAAGATCATCAAGGGAAAAAAGCAGGAGTGGAATGTGGGACCCTACCCAGAGATGGAGGCAGAAATGAGGACATGGAGGGAGGGAGCAGCTGAGGACTCTAGACTCATGGAAAGAGAAAGGCTATGTGCTGGCACCCAGGAGACAGGCTTGCAGAATGTGCCCTTTGGTTGTTTCAAGGATGATATATTCCTGAGTGTCTTTGTGTGCATCCCCAAAACAAACAACAACAGCAACAAAAAACTGAGGGAATAGAAGCAAATACTGTTGAATGATGATGCATGGAGGAGACTGTAACTCTTTGCAATGAAACAATGAGTGTAAAACCAATGTTCTCCCATGTAAACTATCACTCAATTCACAATATAAACTTAATATATATATATTAGTATGTTCATAGAGTTTTTAGTATGTTCATAGAGTTCTGCAACCATCACCACTGTCAATTTTCATCACTTCAAAAAGAAATCTTGTATCCTTTCATTGTCATCCCTTAACCCTTTTTCCAGCTCTGTTATTGTTGTTGTTGTTGTTAAGTGCCGTGGAGTCAGTTCCGACCCATAGCGACCCTGTACAGGGTTTCCGAGGCTGTAAATCTTTATGGGAGCAGAACGCCTCATCTTTCTCCCGTGGAGCTGCTGGTGGTTTCGAACTCCTGGCCTTAAGGTTCGCAGCCTGATTTGTAACCACTACGCTCTAGGCAACCACTAATGCATTTTTTTTGTCTATTCTGGATATTTTGTATAAATGGAATCAGATAATATGTGACTAGTAAATGGAATCATATAATTAGTGGTCTTTTGTGACTGTTTCTTTAACTTATTCCTTCATAAAATTTTCAAAGTTCATCCCGTATGTAGCACACATTGCTCTTTCTTTCCTTATGGCTGAATGACAGACTACATTTTGTTTATGTGTTCATCAGTGATGGGCATTTGAGTCATTTTTGATTTGGGGCTTTTGGGAATAATGTTACTATGAGCAGGCTAGTACAGATTTCTGTGTGGACACATATATTCATTTCTCTTGGGTCAGTGCCCAGAAGTAGAATTTCAGCATCATACAGTACCTTTTTGAGGAATTGCCAGACTGGTTTCCAGAGTGGTTACACCATTTGACATTCCCATCAGGAATGTACGAGGGTTCTAATTTTTCTACGTTCTTGCCTCTATGCTTGGTATGGCACTGTGGGATCAGCACTGGACAGCAAACCACAAGGTCAGCAATTCAAACCCACCAGCTGCTCCTCAGAAACTCTATACAGGGTCATTATGAGTTGGAATCTACTCAATGACACTTGACAACAACATGCCTATTGTGTGCTTTAAGTCAATCGCTTTTGAGATATTTGTTGTTGTTAAGAACCATAGAGTCAGTTCCGACTCATAGTGACCCTTCACAGTGTTTCCGAGATTGTAAATCTTTACGGGAGCAGAATGCCTCATTTTTCTCCCGCAGTACTGCTGGTAGTGTCAAACTGCCAACCTTGAGGTTAGCAGCCTGATTCATAACCACTATGCTACCAGAGCTCAGAGATTAAATAAGCAAACAAAAGAAACACATGCCAATCTATTGTGTAGGAGCAGGAAGAAGTTCAGACGAGACTAGGGCCTTCCTTCAAAGCTGACAAAAGCTTCCCCTAGAAGTTGGAACTCTGAATTCAGAACTCTAGTCTCCTAAACTGTGAGAAAAGAAATTTCAGTTTGTTAAAGTCATTCACTTGTGGTATTTCTGTTATAGCAGCACCAGAGAACTAAGTCACACTCCATTGGGTGGTGAGTCCTATGGAAGAAGAACTAATTACTTGTGGGGAATGATAGAGGAGGCTTCCCAGAATAGATTTTTGTGGCAGTTCTTGAAGGAGTAGATAGGACTCAAGAAGGGAAGGGGCATTCCAGGTAAGGGAGATCCATGAGGAAAACTATGGAGGTGTGAGGGATCTGAGGAGTGATTTGAAAGGACTGGAGCTGGGGGACACAGAGAGGTAGGTAGGTGACAAAACACTAGTCTAGAAAAGTGGGTTAAGTCTGGGCATAAGGACTTCTCATGTCACGTTACAGAGTTGGGGTTTATCTTACACATTCTCTCAGTGATGACAGCATCACCTACAAGATCCAGTTTGTTTCTTAATTTACATGACCATTGGCCACAAAGACTGCTTTTCCTGGACCATGCATCTTTGCTCTTCCTCTTGAAGACAATGGGTTGGCATGTTGCCATATGAGAGAGACAATTGGCTCTGGACATCAGAAATGTTGTCCTAGATCACATAAACTGTGGTAAGGGGACTGAAGGGAGAGCTGAGAATGGGTTTGATGGGTGGGGGCAGCTCCCATGTACTCACTGCACAGCTGGTCCTCATCTTCTCCGTGGGCACAGTCCTTGTGGAAGTCACAGGCCTGCCCAAGCTGAAGGACTGTCCCATTCCAGCAAGTGAAGGAACTCTGCAAGGCCATCTTGGAGCCTGGGGATGTTCCTGGAGAGCACACAGAGACACACACCCTGGTCAATGTGAGTGGCTCCCGGCATTGGTTGCATGGACTGGGAGATCCTGTGAGAAGCCTGCAGAAGGTACATTAGTCCACCCTGCCTTTCATACTCCAAGGCCTGGACTGATGGAGACACGTCATCTCAACCTGTCTACACCTCTGGATCCAATCCAGGAGGCTGAGTGGATGCCAAAGTCCTTAACATATCCCAATAGCCCTCTGGGTTTTAGCAATGATGAGTAGCAGAGTGGCCTGAGGTTTGGTTCACATACACTCAACATTCTAGAGTTCTCAACCTCTTGGCTTTAGTGTGCCAGGTGAACAGCTTATGGTCCAGATTCCATCTGCACACAGACATCTCTACTCTCAAGGTGGAATTTAGAAGTTATCAAGTCACAGGTATGTCTAGTGTTTCTTTCCCAATGTCTGGACCTCAGATTCTACCACTGGGATTGAAAGGATTCTGAAAAAAATCAAACCAAACCAACCAAACAAAAACAGTCATGCAGATTCTTTGTTGTGGAATGCTAAGAACATCCTTGTAAAAGCCTGGACCCTGGGTCCTGAGCCTGGATCCTCCACGGATGGCCATGTGACACCACATTCCTGCTCCTGTCTGGCCCCCATCTCCCCGTCTAGAAAAGGAGAAGTTTTGACTGTAGTTCTAAGGTTTGTTCCAGTTCTGAAATTCTTAAATAAATCATAATATCCAGAGGGGGCAGTGTGACATCCTTCATAATGAACATATTAACGGCTATTAGTTTCCTGTATCAAGAACAATGTGTTATGATGATTAATTAACGTGTGAACACTTGTCCTTGTTGCCCCCAGAGAGCCAGGATACAGGGAGGAGAAGGTTATCCTGGGCTGATAAATGAAATGGGGACCACCTAACAAGGATCTAGCTGATGCTTCTGACTGTGCCTCCTTGCCACCCAACTCTTTTGTCATGTGGGCTGGGGAAACATCTGGTCCCTATGGAGACTTGCAGGGAGGTCCCACTTGGGTCAACCCCTTGTCTGGCTGCCATGCACTCAACTCTCTTTCTCCATCCTACAGTAGCTGGTACCCCAACAATCTCCTCATCCCCATCCTACCCCCTCAATGCTAAGTCCCTGGATGAACCAGGAGCCCCAGTTGGCTAAGTCCCCCAGCCTCATTGAGCTTTATGTAAGGGTAAGGGGAGGGCTGCTGCTCCAATCCCAGCTGTGTAAATCAGACTCCCCAGGGTAGAATCAGGAAAACATATTTTAATAAAACCCCCAGCTGGTTCTGACATGCAATTTTCCAGAGTGGATGATCTTTAATGTCTAAAATTTCATGGTTTTCTGGTTCACTGTACTGTTCTCAATAGTGTGGAAACTAAGATCTATTCGAGCCTGCTTACTTCTACAATTCCTCTACCTTAGGACATTTGACTCTGTAGGGAATTTCGCAAGTCTTAATACTGCCCATTTCCTAAGTGGGAATTGAGGACAGAGGAGTTAAGTGACTTTTCTAAAGTCACACAGCTTGCAAGTGGGATTCAGACCCGGCCTGTCAGACTGAAAGCTGCTCTCTCCATCTCCCGGCAGAGGAACTCTGAAGGTGGCCCCACGCCCTCTTTTCTGGGCTAGTACAGAGAAGTCTTACATACTGTGGGCATGTTATCAGTAGGCACTAGTCCCTAGAGAAGGATATCAGAGAAAAAGGTGAAGGCCTTTAATGAGATGGGCTGACTTAATGACAGCAACATTGGGCTCAAAAACGATTGTAAGTGGGTGCAGGATCGGTTCTGTGGTATGCATTGGAACCAACATGATAGCACCTATCAACAACAGAAAAGGTGCATCTTTGTCAGATGATAGCAGAGGACCAAATTCTCTTCTCTGCCTCTCCTTCCTCTGCATTTTCCCACTGTGTTTCAGACTCCCACAGTAAGACCACCACGGTCCCTTGGTGGTGCCCATCCCACTCTCTCCACCAGATTCTGCTGTCTGTTTGGGTCCAACTCCGAGCTCTGCCTGTAACAAGCATCACTCCTTTTCCTCACATTCAGTGCTCAGATTTCCTCTTTGGCATTGATTGCAGGCACCCAGCCCTAGAGCACATAGGTATGTTCCCATCTTCTCTATCAGCGTGTAAGCTCCCCAGACCCCAGCCAGCACCGGCCTTAAGAAGCACTCTCGAACAGCCTGTAGACAAGGCCACCTACTCAACCTGACTCCAGCCTCCAGTAAGAGCTATAAATGAAATCAGATGAGCCTCAGTCACCTGAAGCCCACTGTAACTTTTGACCCGCTTCGCAGTTGACACTGTTGTGTCCTGTGGGACATATAATGCTTATCTACAGTTTCAGTTACTGGGGGTTAGTGGGAAACTGCTCTCCCACTTTCAGTACACGCTACCATCTGGTTGTTGTTGTTAAGTACCGTGGAGTTGGTTCTGACTCATAGTGACCCTGTACAAGGTTTCCGAGGCTGCAAATCTTTACGGGAGCAAAAAACCTCATCTTTCTCCCACGGAACAGTTAGTAGGGGCCTGTATGTAAACTGCATGAATCTGAAGAAATGGACCTCATTTCACCAATATTAGCACTGGAGACCCCTCAGTATATATGTGTCTCATTAATTATACTGACCACCACTCATCTGACAGTTTATTGTACTGTGGTGGCTTGAATGTTGTTGTGATGCTGGAAGCTATGTTGTTTTTATTAAGTGCTGTCAAGTTGGTTCTGATCCATAGTGACCCTGTGTAGGGTTTCTGAGGAGCAGATAGTGAGTTTGACCCACCAACCTTGTGGTTCAAACCAATCTTGCGGTCGAGTACTTATCCTACAGCACCACAGCAGAACTCCGGAAGCTATGTTACTGGTATATTAAATATCGTGGACAGGTTTCAGCTGGCTTCCAGACTAAGACAGACGAGGAAGAAGGAGAGGTGGACTACTTCTGAATGATTGTTGTTAATGTTGTTAAGTGCTGTTGAGTCAATTTGGACCTATAGTGACCCTGTGTAAGGTTTCCAAGGATCGGCTAGTGGTTTTGAACTGCTGACCTTGTGGTCCAGTGCTTATCCTACAGTGCCACACCAGGATTCTGAAAACTTTATAGATAGTAGTGGGGCATTGTCAGATACGTTGTTGTTGTTGCTAAGTGCTGTTGAGTTGGTTCCAACCCATAACGACCCTGTATAGGGTCTCTGAGGAGCAGCTAGCTGGTGAGCCTGAACCACTCCTACTATGCAGTTCAAACTGAACTTGCAGTCCAGCACATTAACCCGCAGTGCCACCATAGTGCTGGAAAATGGAAACACTATGAATAGCACCAGAATATTGTCAGATATAGTTCCAGAAGATGAGCCCTTAGGTTGAAAGACACTTATAATACGACTGGGGAAGAACTGTCTCCTCAAAGTAAAGTTGACCATAATGATGTGAATGCAACAAAACTTTCTGGGCTTTCATTTACAGATGGGGTACAACTGAAAATGAGGAGTAACAGCTGTAAACATTCATTAATAATCAGAACATGGAATGTATGAATATGAATCTAAGAGAACTGGGAATTGGTAAAAATGAAATGGAATGCATAAAGATTAATATCTTAGGTATTATTAGTGAGCTGATATGGACTGGTATTGGCCATTTTAAATTGGACAATTACATGGCTTACTATGCCGGGAATGACAAATTCAAGAGGAATGGTGTCGTATTCATCATCAAAAAGTACATTTCAAGAACTATGCTGAAGTGCTATGCTGTCTATGATAGGGTAATATCCATATGCCTACAAGGAAGACCAGTTAATACCACTATTATTCAAATGTATGCACCAACCACTAAAGTCAGTAATGATGAAATGGAAGAATTCTTCCAACCTCTTTGCTCTGAAATTGATCAAACAGACAATCATGGTGCATTGATAGATTATTACTGGTGATTGGAACGCAAAAGTTGGAAACAAAGTTAAAGGATCAGTAGTTGGAAAATATGGCCTTTGATGATCAAAATTATGCTGGCTAGCATTTTGCAAGACCAATGACTTACTCATTGCAAATATTTGTTTTCAAAAGTATAAAAGGCAACTAAACACATGAGTCTGGTGTGGCATTGTAGGATAAGCACTGTATTGGTCCAAAAGGTCAGCAGTTCAAATCTATCAACCACTGCTCAGAAACCCTTTACAGGGTCACGAAGAGTCAGAACTGGCTTGATGGCACTTAACAACAATAATAATATACACATGAACCTCACCAGATGGAATAAACAAGAATCAAGGTGATGACATCTGTGAGAAGAGATGGTGAGAAGTTCAATGTCATCAGCCAAAACAAGACTGGGGCTGATTATGGAACAGACCACAAACAACTCATAGGCAAATTCAGACTGAAGTTGAAGGAAATTAAAACAAATCCACAAGAGCTAGAATATGGCCTTGAATATATCTCAACTTGAATTTAGAGATCATCTCAAGAACAGATTTGATACATTAGACACTAATGATCAAAGACCAGAAGAGTTGTGGGATGATATCAAGAACCTCATACAGAAAGACAGCAAAGGTCATCAAGAAGATAAGAAAGAAAAGACAAAAATGATGCCAGAAGAGGCTCTGAAGAAAAAAGGAGGGAAAAGAGCTGAACAGAAAACTTTGAAGGGCATCTCAAGTAGACAAATTCAAGTATTGTGCAAAGACCTGGAGTTAGAAACGAAATGTGCAAAGACCTGGAGTTAGAAACCGAAAGAGAACACTTTGAAGCTGAAAGAATGGAAGAAAAAGAATTCAGGTCTCAGGCAGCAATATCAAAGGATTCTATGGGAGTCCTGGCGTGGCTTTGTAGGATAAGCATTGGACTGCTAGCCACAAGTTCAGTTCTTCAAACTCACCAGCCACTCCTTGAAAACTCTATACAGGATTGCTATGAATTGGAACCAGCTTGACAGCACTTAACATCAACTACATGGGCAACATGGTGAGTGTGGGGTATCTGTAGGATAAACACT